CCTCTCTTCTCCTATCCCTCCCCATAAAAAGCATTTATGTATTTTATCAATGGAATGGATTATACCTTTTGGGATTACATAAACTAACATCAAGAACACGGGCAAACTTGACAGCACTGAATTGATGAGCGTGATTTGACCTCCCGTAGATAAATGCCTACCTTTCCAGCTAGCTAACTTCCTTTTAATGGACTCCACCATTGGCTGCCACATAGTTATTCTTCTATGATTCCTGCCAATTGGAATTCGTAAGTACTTAAATGGCAACTCCCTTTCTTTGCAAACAATCTAGATGCCATTTTGGCACTCCAATTCTGCTCTACTCCCACTCCCATCAATTGGCTCTTTTGGAAGTTTATCTTCAACCCTGAAACCAACTCAAAAGTCCTCATAATGCATTTGATCACCCAAATATTATCTTCTGATGCCTCCCCGAAGAATATGGTGTCATCCACGAATTGTAAATGTGTGACCATAACATCTCTGCTGCCAATTGTCACTCTTTTATACCACTCATTCTCCACTACCGATGACACTACTCCATTCAGCCCTTCTGCGACAATTAAGAATAAACATGGGGACAACGGATCTCCCTGTCGAATGCCTTCATTAACCGAGAATTGTTTCGTTGGGCTTCCATTAATGAGAACAGAAACCGAGCTCGATTTTAGGCACTCATATATCCATTTTCTCCAAGTTGTGCAAAACCCCATCCTCATCAACATATACTCAATGAAATCCCAACATACCTTATTGTAAGCTTTCTCAAAGTCAACTTTAAATAGAAAACCCTTCTTCTTCTTCCTTTTGACTTCATCAATAATCTCATTTGCAATCACTATTCCCTCCACTAATTGTCGTCCCTCAATAAAAGTCATTTGTTGCTCCCCGATCACCTTGGGTAACACCTTTTATAACCGGTTTGCTAGCAATTTTGCAATGGTTTTGTATATGACTCTTATGAGCGAGATGGGTCTATATTCCTCAATTCCTTAGGTATTTTCTATCTTTGGGATATTAACACAATGAAGGAAGCATTTGACCCTCTAACCAACCTGCCATGTTCTTGGAACTCCTGTACAAAGTTGACTATATCAGATTTTATGACCTCCCACATCATCTTTATAAATCTGAAATTGAATCCATCTAGGCCTGGAGATTTTGATGAGTCGCAATTCCATATTGCTTCTTTAATTTCCTGTTTCGAAAATGCAGCCATTTGGAGCTCATTATCAGCCTGTGATATTTGCCTCATGCTTATCCCATCAAGCTCTGGTCTCTTCCATCTCTCTTCTGAAAAAAGATCTTGGAAGTACTTAGCAACCTCTTGCCTTATTACCTCCACCCCTGTGTGCTACTCCCCATTGATTCAGATACTATTGATTTCGTTTCTTCTCCATCTTCCCTTCACACATCTATGGAAGAATTTTATATTTGTGTCGCCTTTTTTAAACCACATCTTTCTTGATTTTTGTTACCACATCCTCTCCTTGATTCTTAGATTCTTCCATAAGTCAATAAAACTATTTCTCCTCATTTCAGTATCAGTAGGCGACAATTGGTTCTGCTCCCTTTCTCATCTAATGAAGCAATCACATCTTCAGCTTCCTTTATTCTGCTAACCATCTCTGTATTCAATTTACTACTCCATTCCTTTAGTGCTAATTTTGTTCTTTTCAGTTTTTCCTTGAG